TCAGAATGGAAGGAGAAAACAGAGAAGCTGGAGATAGAGCTACAACAATGTTGCAAAGCGCAATCCCGATTATCCGAGCAACTCGTGATAGAAGTAGCTGAATCAAGAACATCAAAGGCTTCTTTACAAGAGAAGGAGTTGTTAATTAACGACATGGAGACGGAATTAACCGAAACAAGGTCAGATTTTGGTGTTTTCTTGCAAAGTGACTGTTAACGGAATTGATAAGTAATGTGCGGTTCTTGAAAACTAGATTTGGGATTGTGTAGGGAAAAGTGTACAAATTTACAAGAAGAGTTAGAGGAAAAGACCAAGACTTTGGATTTACTTATCGCCGAGAACAAGGAAGTCCGATCTCAGCTAGAGGAAATGACAGATAGAGCTCAGAAAGCAGAGTCTGAGAATAAAATGTTGATTGATCGGTGGATGTTGCAGAAGATGCAAGACGCAGAACGTCTTAACGAGGCAAATGCTCTCTATGAAGAAATGCTAGCGAAGCTTAAGGCCAATGGTTTAGAGAATCTTGCTCGGCAGCAAGTTGATGGGATCGTGCGGCGGAACGAAGATGGAACGGATGACTTTGTTGAGTCAACGATTCCGTCAACATGTGGACACCGTATCCATGCTCATGAAGTGGTTGTGGCTCAATCATCTTTGAATACAACTCTGGTACTCTCTTCACCGGTGGATAAGACCGAGCTGTCAAAATGTGGGACACCAACAGCGGCTCTTTGATCAAAAGCTTACACGGCACACTCGGGAACATTCTTGACCTAGCCATAACACACGACAACAAGTCCCTGACCGCGGCAACCACCTCGAACAATCTCTTTGTGTGGATGTTAGCTCCGGTAGGGTGCGCCACACTCTCACAGGCCACACGGATAAAGTCTACGCCGTGGACGTGAGCAAGTTCTCGAGCCGGCACGTCGTCAGTGCGGCTTACGACCGCACCATAAAGCTCTGGGATCTGCAGAAAGGCTACTGCACTAACACGGTGCTCTTCACCAGCAACTGCAACGCCATGTGCCTAAGCATAGACGGGCTCACGGTTTTCTCAGGCCACATGGATGGGAATCTCAGGCTATGGGATATACAAACGGGGAAGCTTCTCTTTGAAGTGGCTGGACATTCCTCCGCTGTGACCTCGGTCTCGTTGTCACGTAACTGGAACAGGATCTTGACGAGCGGGAGTTTGGAGATTTGCGGGACATTGAGAGCGTCGGGAAACAGATTGGCGTCGAACTGGAGCCGGTCGTGTATAAGTCCGGACGACGAGTACGTGGCCGCGGGATCTTGGGATGGGACGGTGCATGTATGATCTATCTCGAAAGGCAAGATTGTGAGCGTTCTCAAGGAGCAAACATCTCCTATACTCTGTTGTTCGTGGTGTGGGATTGGGAAACCATTGGCTTCTGCTGATAAAGACGGGTATGTTTGTACTTGGACATGATTGTTAACACTCTGTTTGATTACTCGAAACGTCTGTTGAAATGTTTGGTATATAATTGGTTTTTTAATGTTTGATTTTGAGTTTAATTTGGTCAAATTGTTCTCGAGAACACATACAACATAACACCTAATGCGAGTTTTCTCTATAACACCGTTTTATTGTAATGTTAGATTTGTATGCACACACATCCTATATAAACGATTATACATGTGATTGAGCAGTCTCTCTTGCCATTGTTACCTCCTGCGCAAGGTAAGAGAGAATCATGAGCACAAGTTTAGCAAGGAGAAGAGAGATGACTATTGTTAATTATAAGAACCTTTAGCTTAGAGGCACTGGAGAAGACACATGAGGATGTGACAGCATGGCCTGGCTCAAACAACCATCCTATAGAAAAAGCTCTTTCTCCGTCTTTGCCTTGTTGTAGCTCACACCACAGATCTTTCGGAAGCAGTAAAAGATCTTTCTCTTCTCGCACAATATCAATCACTTTCTCTCCAGTAACTTGTTGAACACAAGCCTGAGCATTAGAGGTAGTGGTGGTAGCAAGAAGAGCTCTCCAAGAACCGGCTACAACCGAAGCTGGAGTGGTAGGTGTAGAAGCAAAACCAGAGCTACGCATGGCACAGCCACCGAGCTGATCTCCATCTCTGAACGGACCGTACCACAGCTCACAGAAAACTTTAACACTCTGCAGCAACATTTTGGTCTCTTCTAAGCGTAAAACCTGGAAAATCCTGACACGAGACTCCTTGTCGTTTGGGTTGAACAAGCAATGCTCCAACTCCAAAATGTTCTCCCCAAGAGGCCAGACGGCGACATAGGAGCCGTTAACGGAATAAGAGAATGCTAACGGAAACGGCGACGTTTTGATGCTCCTTTCGCCGATGGAGTAACGAGTGGCTGCATCAGCTTCACATCCAACGGTGGGGAGAAGTTTGATGGACTTGTAACGAAAAGAATGTGCGTCGTGGGGGGTGGGCAAGAGTTGGACACTGAGTCTGCCAATCGAACACCTTCACTTCCCATTCTCTAAAAGCTTCTGGAACCACTGACTCTGGCAGCTCAAGCGGTTGACCTTGACTTGTAAAATCACCCCCGAAACCGTCCCATTCGCCGGAGACGTTTTGAGCGAACTCCTACCACGACGCTACAAGAAGAAGCCAACAAGATTTAGAATTCGATCAGTTTCCGATTTGGAATCGAGAAGGATTTAGCTTACGATTGAATTCAGGGGCAGGCTGGGTCTGCGCCAGGGAGGAAATTTGAGCGGAACGAGAAAGATGGGAAATTGATGTTCTGTGGATAAACCCTAAACTGGAAGAGAAGGGAAAAGAGAAAGCTTTGAACGAAGGCGGAGGTGGAGGTGTAGTACGGTTCCGCCATAAGAGGGAGCTTCCGGATGAAGATAACGTCGGAGCAGAGTACATGTTAATGGATCGTATCTCAGAAAGAGATAAAAGGATTTAAATGGGATTTCGTATCGGGGCTTAGAATTGGATGAATCTGTAATCGGAGAAGAAGATAGCAAAGATGAGAGAGAAGGGACGACTGAGAGAAAGAAGAAGACGACGATTGCGTAATCATCATCATCTTCCGAAACGGTGCCGTTTCGTTTTTAGTGTACCGAAGAAACGTCGTCGTTTGATAACACCTATGAATCTCTGGTCACTTGTCTAATGATAACCAAAAAATATTATGTTCTGAAAGATTTGGAAAGAAATCTCTTGTACTCAAAGCTCAACTCGGCTATGCTTCATTAATCAACTTAGTTTTTCACTTTCGCTTTTCTTAAAATAAGACTCTCAAAGGAATATCTTTTAACATCTACATTATTATTCAAGTTACCATTACATCATTTGTAAACATTATAATACACTAGTTTAAAGTTGTGATAATTTTTTTTGTCATTTAGTTTGTTTTTACATAGTTGTATAATAAGTTTCTTTAGTTTCTCAGGGTTATTTTTTCAATACTCATATGACAGAAGGACTTCATTTCCTTTCTTTCTTATCTTATGGGTCACTTTCTTATTTTGTAAAATAATTTATTCGTACATGAATACGTTCATATGAGAGTTCTTATCAGAACTTCTATGATGTACCATTTTTCTTTTCTGCATTTTGTGAGATGAAAAACAATAACAAATTAACATACTATTGTAAATGTAAGCAACTATCAAGTATCAACTAATTCAAAAATTATTTCTTCAATGATTTTGAATTATGTTGGATCATATGTTTTTACGATCTAACACCTATGAATCTAACACCTAATACCTATGGATCATATGTTGGATGTTACAATTCACCCCGACTCAATAAGCGCAACGTCTTCATTGTGTACGAAGATCATCACCCCTAACGATTTACAGTGTGAGCCCACTCGTCTCCACACATATGTCTAGGTTCGGTAACGCCCCCGCGGTCTCTCCCGGTGAATCACCCACGCCTTCTCTCGACCCGTGGGTCCTACTCCTGTCCGACGGTCGGTGCGTTATTTTTGGGAGGTTCGGAGAATGTATTTACACTATCCCTGCATTCATTACCCGACATTTTTCCCGTGTTTTTTCCTAACTCACACGGTTTCGCAGAGGACTTCCCGAAAGGTCACCTATCTTTCCACTACTCTAGCCCAATCACGCTTAACTCTGGAGTTTTTTATGGGCCCTTGACTGAAAAGGTAAGTGCACTTTGATGATATAGGTAGCCAAATTAATTCTCTTATTCCTCTCATCATTTATTACAAATCGGGATGTTACAACTAACCTCGTTAAATTATTTGACGTCATCAAAATGTTATCCAATTTTTTATTTTTGTGTTCTGAACACAGTATGATGTCGATTCACTTTTCGCTGCCTTGTAGTTTGTGTTTAACCTTTCGAACCGGAATCGAAACCGAAATCTTACACAAGAAAATCGATTTATGTAGTAAACCGAGCGAGAAAGAATTAACCGATTTCTCACTAAACCAAAATAAAATTCATTTTGAATATTCTTCAAAAACCGAACCCGAAGGATTGACTGGCCGGTTGATGGGGTCAATTGAACAAATTAAAAAGTGTTAGCCTTCTATTGGTTATACATAAAGATTAAAGGAACCCAATTGCAAAACACCACCAGTAGAGATGCAGAAGAAAACAAATATTCTCGTGCAAAAGAAAGTGGCAGAGTAAGAAGAGTTTGTGTGGCATCAATCGAATCAATGGAGCTCTCGATCTCGCAATCACCGCGTCTTCGTTTCTCGCCTCGTTTTTTAGCTGCTTCTCATCATCATCATTCGTCGCATTTAGCTGGGAAGTTTATAAGTCGCTCTACAGATGTTGCCTTCACGAGCTTATCAACTTCGAGAATGCGGTCCAAATTTGTTTCAACTAACTATAGAAAAATCTCGATCCGGGTATGCTTTCATTCTTTGGCTCAACAAGCAAATTATCCTTTGCTTTGACTTTTAGTCAATCAACATGTCTCGAGATTTTCTTCAAAACTTGAAGATTTCTGGAATTGTCTCTATTCAATTAGCTGACAAAGCTTGTTGAGCTTAAAAAAAAAAACTGCAATTTAGGATTAGATGAATCACATATATTCTTCTGTAATGCTAAATCTAAAAGCTAGAACCTCACGAATGTTGCTCAGATTTTGCCTTTTCTTTGGTAAATTTTCTCGAAATTTCCGATTTTCACAAAAGAACGATTGGTATGTTGTATCTGGAACTGGGAAGCTCAGAAAGATTAAATCTTGTTTAGTCTTTTTGTGTGTTAATATGATATTTTCAATGGCACTCACAAAAGTGGATACTATCAGGCATGTTCTCAGGTTGGTGCAGCTGGATCGGATCCAGTTCTGGATAAAATTGCGCGTTTCCAAAATGCTTGCTGGAGATTTCTCAGGCCCCATACGATCCGTGGAACAGCTTTAGGATCCACGTACGTCAGTACATGTTGCATATTGATTTACAAGGAGAACTTCGGTTTCCTTGGACTCATTTAGCTTGAATGTGATTTTTTAATGGCAGTGCCTTGGTGGCAAGAGCATTGATAGAGAACACTCATCTCATAAAATGGAGCCTCGTACTCAAGGCACTCTCAGGTCTTCTTGCTCTTATATGTGGAAATGGTTATATTGTTGGCATCAATCAGATCTACGACATTGGAATTGACAAGTATGTGTAAAGTGTAAACCATTACAAATTTTTCGTTATTTTGGTGTCTTTAAGTCTTGAGAAAAAGATTCAGGTGTTACTAGATTCTGTATTGTTTGTTTCCTGCTCACATATTATTCATTTCTTAAAGTTTAAGCATATGATCACTTCATCCAAATCAGTACATCATTTAACTTGCTATTGTTTGAATTTGCAATCATCTGTTTTGCAGAGTGAACAAACCATACTTGCCAATAGCAGCAGGAGATCTCTCAGTGCAGTCTGCCTGGTTGTTGGTGTGTTTTTTGCATTGCAGGGCTGTTGTTGTCGGATTCAACTTTGGTCCATTCATTACTTGCCTATACTCTCTTGGCCTTTTCCTGGGAACCATCTATTCTGTTCCACCATTTAGAATGAAAAGATTTCCAGTTGCAGCATTTCTTATTATTGCCACGGTAGGCTTCTCAATCTGATTATTCAACTATATACCATATGTGATAGTTTCATAGCTTAGTAACTTCAAAATGGCATATAGTAACATGTCTGTGTATCTACATGTCCTTATCAGGTACGAGGTTTCCTTCTTAATTTTGGTGTGTACCATGCTACAAGAGCTGCTCTTGGACTTCCGTTTCAGTGGAGGTTAGTAGTCGTCTGCTCAATACTTATCAAGTAGGGTCGAAATAATGAGAAAATTTTGCATGCTTGTATTGTAATAACATGTTCCCAAACATATATAGATTACTCAACTCTCTATCTGAAATTTGCAGTGCGCCTGTGGCTTTCATCACGTCTTTTGTGACATTGTTTGCACTGGTCATTGCTATTACAAAAGATCTTCCTGATGTTGAAGGAGATCGCAAGTAAGTAACTGCGTATATACCATTGCATGGAACATATATCCTCAGCATCCCATTTTACTATCCTGGTTATATTTATGCTTATTTAACCAACCATACCTGATTCCTTACATAGGCCATAGCAGAGGAGTTGTATTTCTAAGTTGTAGTGTCATCATCTTCTTTTGATGATTTTGAATAGGTTCCAAATATCAACACTAGCAACAAAGCTTGGAGTGAGGAACATTGCATTCCTCGGTTCTGGACTTCTGCTGGTGAACTATATCTCTGCCATATCACTAGCTTTCTACATGCCTCAGGTGACACACATCTCTCCCTCCAATTCGCATCATCTCTTTCGGTTAATTTCTAAGCGTGAAACACCATATCCTTAACATTTGACAGGTTTTTAGAGGTAGCTTGATGATTCCTGCACATATGATCTTGGCTTCGTATCTTGATTTTCCAGGTAATGCATCCCAAGTCTGAGATAAAATATCCGAAATCTCCATAACTATATGCTTTATTTCACTGCCATATTCATCTGTCTAATATCGTTGTTGTTGTTCTTTTGTAGACATTGGTGCTAGAAAAAGCAAACTACACAAAGGTAAAATACATCAATTTCTTATCACGAAATTTCAAGAAGAAGATGATGATGATCAATGGAGTGTGTATCTAATGGAATTTTTTTTATTATTATTGCAGGAAGCTATTGGAGGATATTACCGGTTTATATGGAATCTCTTCTACGCAGAGTATCTGTTATTCCCATTCTTCTAGCTTCTAGTGTGAACATTTGCAGTTTTGCTTTGTATATCTTGGAGTCAAAATCAGTTTGTTCATGTACATACTAAGAGGATATATGTTCTTTTGAATTTTGATATCTTGCAATAATAATTCCTTGTAACGCCAGCGGCCAGCCTTATGAGTTTGATCAGTAACTAGGTTCTACACATGAATGAGGACAAACATGAGTGAAACGGTCTCAATCCAAGGGAGGAACATCAAATGGACCTAATTTGGGAACCGGAAGAGGTAAGGAGTCCGAAATGTACCTCTGTGACTCCACATTGTGGAAACTCACTTGTAGTGTATAAGATGAACTAGATGGACCCATACTTACCCAAACATGGATTAATAGGTTCTACACATGACTATGAGGACAAACATGAGTGAAACGGTCTCAATCCAAGGGAGGAACATCAAATGGACCTAATTTGGGAACCGGAAGAGGTAAGGAGTCCGAAATGTACCTCTGTGACTCCACATTGTGGAAACTCACTTGTAGTGTATAAGATGAACTAGATGGACCCATACTTACCCAAACATGGATTAATAGGTTCTACACATGACTATGAGGACAAACATGAGTGAAACGGTCTCAATCCAAGGGAGGAACATCAAATGGACCTAATTTGGGAACCGGAAGAGGTAAGGAGTCCGAAATGTACCTCTGTGACTCCACATTGTGGAAACTCACTTGTAGTGTATAAGATGAACTAGATGGACCCATACTTACCCAAACATGGATTAATAGGTTCTACACATGACTATGAGGACAAACATGAGTGAAACGGTCTCAATCCAAGGGAGGAACATCAAATGGACCTAATTTGGGAACCGGAAGAGGTAAGGAGTCCGAAATGTACCTCTGTGACTCCACATTGTGGAAACTCACTTGTAGTGTATAAGATGAACTAGATGGACCCATACTTACCCAAACATGGATTAATAGGTTCTACACATGACTATGAGGACAAACATGAGTGAAACGGTCTCAATCCAAGGGAGGAACATCAAATGGACCTAATTTGGGAACCGGAAGAGGTAAGGAGTCCGAAATGTACCTCTGTGACTCCACATTGTGGAAACTCACTTGTAGTGTATAAGATGAACTAGATGGACCCATACTTACCCAAACATGGATTAATAGGTTCTACACATGACTATGAGGACAAACATGAGTGAAACGGTCTCAATCCAAGGGAGGAACATCAAATGGACCTAATTTGGGAACCGGAAGAGGTAAGGAGTCCGAAATGTACCTCTGTGACTCCACATTGTGGAAACTCACTTGTAGTGTATAAGATGAACTAGATGGACCCATACTTACCCAAACATGGATTAATAGGTTCTACACATGACTATGAGGACAAACATGAGTGAAACGGTCTCAATCCAAGGGAGGAACATCAAATGGACCTAATTTGGGAACCGGAAGAGGTAAGGAGTCCGAAATGTACCTCTGTGACTCCACATTGTGGAAACTCACTTGTAGTGTATAAGATGAACTAGATGGACCCATACTTACCCAAACATGGATTAATAGGTTCTACACATGACTATGAGGACAAACATGAGTGAAACGGTCTCAATCCAAGGGAGGAACATCAAATGGACCTAATTTGGGAACCGGAAGAGGTAAGGAGTCCGAAATGTACCTCTGTGACTCCACATTGTGGAAACTCACTTGTAGTGTATAAGATGAACTAGATGGACCCATACTTACCCAAACATGGATTAATAGGTTCTACACATGACTATGAGGACAAACATGAGTGAAACGGTCTCAATCCAAGGGAGGAACATCAAATGGACCTAATTTGGGAACCGGAAGAGGTAAGGAGTCCGAAATGTACCTCTGTGACTCCACATTGTGGAAACTCACTTGTAGTGTATAAGATGAACTAGATGGACCCATACTTACCCAAACATGGATTAATAGGTTCTACACATGACTATGAGGACAAACATGAGTGAAACGGTCTCAATCCAAGGGAGGAACATCAAATGGACCAAATTTGGGAACCGGAAGAGGTAAGGAGTCCGAAATGTACCTCTGTGACTCCACATTGTGGAAACTCACTTGTAGTGTATAAGATGAACTAGATGGACCCATACTTACCCAAACATGGATTAATAGGTTCTACACATGACTATGAGGACAAACATGAGTGAAACGGTCTCAATCCAAGGGAGGAACATCAAATGGACCTAATTTGGGAACCGGAAGAGGTAAGGAGTCCGAAATGTACCTCTGTGACTCCACATTGTGGAAACTCACTTGTAGTGTATAAGATGAACTAGATGGACCCATACTTACCCAAACATGGATTAATAGGTTCTACACATGACTATGAGGACAAACATGAGTGAAACGGTCTCAATCCAAGGGAGGAACATCAAATGGACCTAATTTGGGAACCGGAAGAGGTAAGGAGTCCGAAATGTACCTCTGTGACTCCACATTGTGGAAACTCACTTGTAGTGTATAAGATGAACTAGATGGACCCATACTTACCCAAACATGGATTAATAGGTTCTACACATGACTATGAGGACAAACATGAGTGAAACGGTCTCAATCCAAGGGAGGAACATCAAATGGACCTAATTTGGGAACCGGAAGAGGTAAGGAGTCCGAAATGTACCTCTGTGACTCCACATTGTGGAAACTCACTTGTAGTGTATAAGATGAACTAGATGGACCCATACTTACCCAAACATGGATTAATAGGTTCTACACATGACTATGAGGACAAACATGAGTGAAACGGTCTCAATCCAAGGGAGGAACATCAAATGGACCAAATTTGGGAACCGGAAGAGGTAAGGAGTCCGAAATGTACCTCTGTGACTCCACATTGTGGAAACTCACTTGTAGTGTATAAGATGAACTAGATGGACCCATACTTACCCAAACATGGATTAATAGGTTCTACACATGACTATGAGGACAAACATGAGTGAAACGGTCTCAATCCAAGGGAGGAACATCAAATGGACCTAATTTGGGAACCGGAAGAGGTAAGGAGTCCGAAATGTACCTCTGTGACTCCACATTGTGGAAACTCACTTGTAGTGTATAAGATGAACTAGATGGACCCATACTTACCCAAACATGGATTAATAGGTTCTACACATGACTATGAGGACAAACATGAGTGAAACGGTCTCAATCCAAGGGAGGAACATCAAATGGACCTAATTTGGGAACCGGAAGAGGTAAGGAGTCCGAAATGTACCTCTGTGACTCCACATTGTGGAAACTCACTTGTAGTGTATAAGATGAACTAGATGGACCCATACTTACCCAAACATGGATTAATAGGTTCTACACATGACTATGAGGACAAACATGAGTGAAACGGTCTCAATCCAAGGGAGGAACATCAAATGGACCTAATTTGGGAACCGGAAGAGGTAAGGAGTCCGAAATGTACCTCTGTGACTCCACATTGTGGAAACTCACTTGTAGTGTATAAGATGAACTAGATGGACCCATACTTACCCAAACATGGATTAATAGGTTCTACACATGACTATGAGGACAAACATGAGTGAAACGGTCTCAATCCAAGGGAGGAACATCAAATGGACCTAATTTGGGAACCGGAAGAGGTAAGGAGTCCGAAATGTACCTCTGTGACTCCACATTGTGGAAACTCACTTGTAGTGTATAAGATGAACTAGATGGACCCATACTTACCCAAACATGGATTAATAGGTTCTACACATGACTATGAGGACAAACATGAGTGAAACGGTCTCAATCCAAGGGAGGAACATCAAATGGACCTAATTTGGGAACCGGAAGAGGTAAGGAGTCCGAAATGTACCTCTGTGACTCCACATTGTGGAAACTCACTTGTAGTGTATAAGATGAACTAGATGGACCCATACTTACCCAAACATGGATTAATAGGTTCTACACATGACTATGAGGACAAACATGAGTGAAACGGTCTCAATCCAAGGGAGGAACATCAAATGGACCTAATTTGGGAACCGGAAGAGGTAAGGAGTCCGAAATGTACCTCTGTGACTCCACATTGTGGAAACTCACTTGTAGTGTATAAGATGAACTAGATGGACCCATACTTACCCAAACATGGATTAATAGGTTCTACACATGACTATGAGGACAAACATGAGTGAAACGGTCTCAATCCAAGGGAGGAACATCAAATGGACCTAATTTGGGAACCGGAAGAGGTAAGGAGTCCGAAATGTACCTCTGTGACTCCACATTGTGGAAACTCACTTGTAGTGTATAAGATGAACTAGATGGACCCATACTTACCCAAACATGGATTAATAGGTTCTCCACATGACTATGAGGACAAACATGAGTGAAACGGTCTCAATCCAAGGGAGGAACATCAAATGGACCTAATTTGGGAACCGGAAGAGGTAAGGAGTCCGAAATGTACCTCTGTGACTCCACATTGTGGAAACTCACTTGTAGTGTATAAGATGAACTAGATGGACCCATACTTACCCAAACATGGATTAATAGGTTCTACACATGACTATGAGGACAAACATGAGTGAAACGGTCTCAATCCAAGGGAGGAACATCAAATGGACCTAATTTGGGAACCGGAAGAGGTAAGGAGTCCGAAATGTACCTCTGTGACTCCACATTGTGGAAACTCACTTGTAGTGTATAAGATGAACTAGATGGACCCATACTTACCCAAACA